CAAGTGTTATAAACTGTGCAATGAAATCTTTGCACAGGTGTGGAAAGAGAGCAGAACAAGGTCTTTGCATCTTTCATAGATTTCATAGAATGTGTTGGGCTGGAAGGGACCCACAAAGGTCATCTAGTCCAACCCCCCTGCAGTAAGTGGGGACATCCTTAGCTCGATCAGGTTGCCTAGAGCCCCATCAAGCCTGATCTTGAATGTCTCCAGGGATGGGCCTCCACCACCTCTCTGGGCAACCTGTTCCAGTGCTTTACCACCCTTATGGTAAAGAACTTCTTCCTAATGTCCAATCTAAATCTATCCGCTTCTAGTGTAAAACCATTGCCCCTCGTCCTATTGCTACGTGCCCTTGTAAACAGTCCCTCGCCAGCTCTCCTGTAGGCCCCCCTCAGGTACTGGAAGGCCGCTATAAGGTCTCCCCAGAGCCCTCTCTTCTCCAGGCTGAACAACCCCAGCTCTCTCAGCCTGTCCTCACAGGGGAGGTGCTCCAGCCCCCTGATCATCTTCGTGGCCTCCTCTGGACCCGCTCCAACAGGTCCATATCCTTCTTGTATTGAGGGCTCCAGAGCTGGAGGCAGTATTCCAGGTGAAGTCTCTCTTTCATTTTCTTCCATTCCTGTCAAGTTCTTCCCATGCAATATAATTGTTAACTGACTCTTTTCTCTGTCACTGGCCTGTTGGATCTACAAAGTAGCAGTCTGATTCAGTCACTTTTGTAATATAAGAAAGAGACATACCTTCTTTAAACTATATCCAGCATGAAATATTATGGGTGGCAGCAAAATATTGAAGAAGATGGAAGGATCAAATGTCATCTGCCAGAAAGGACAAAAGAGAGGGTAAGGACAAATAAAGTAGCGTTTAATCTGATAGGATAGGTTTTAATTGTAGCTTTTTATCAGGATTAATCTCAGGATTGGCTTCAATGTCTATAGGCCAGTATGTTATTCTGAGTTGTTTTGTTAATTGTTAATGTGTACTTACTTACTGCTTCTATATGTAGAGTACTACTTGAAAAGTATTCCTTAAAGAAGGAAATCAGTCATGCACTATTTTACAGGGAACACATACTAGCAGCGTTACCTGTGATAATATCTGCACTACCAGACATCCAACTTGACAGTCCCATGGTTTAATTCCTGGTTCAGACATGGACCTCTGTTTGGTTTCAGGAAAGACACATTGTCAGTGTTGTGTCTCAATACCCCACGTACAGAATGGTACTGAAAGAAAAGGCCTACACTACCAAAACCAATGTTATGTTTCCTTTGAAGCATATCTATTTAGGCACAGACAGAGCTTGCTAATGTTGCTTAATGAACCCCTGGCTGTCAGCTTTCTTGAACTACTGCACATGAAAACTGCACACTTTGACCACCTTCATTACTTCACTTGAATTAACCTAAAAGTGATCAAAAATATATTTTACTTACATTTTCAGGAGGCAAGGAACACTCATGTGGCTAGGTAATGTAGCTCAGAGGTGACAGAACTCATTAAACTGTAATTGTATAATCAGTTCTGCCGACCTGCCAGCACAGGTTTCTGTTGTCCTGAAGTTTCTCACTAAATCTGCTAATTGCTTCTCTAGCATCATTTCCATTGTAATACATCTCGTAAAATATAATCAATCCAAACCAGTCCATCAGTTTTGGCCTGACTGCAACAAAACAAGCTCTAGACTCTCCGCAGTAACTATGTATTTCTACTTCCTAACAAAATGTATGTTTAGCAAAGCATAAATCGTCCTTTTTGGCAAGAGAGCTGCATACATAGACATGAAATTCACAAATGGCATAAGCCTTTTCTTCCGAATTTTGATTTGAGTGTTTTGTGATGGCCTTAATTATTAGCAGCTCAACTAATTTACCAGTAACATCCTCAGTTCCTTGCTGTTTTTTTCTATTTCTATATGGGCTGACATTGTAAGTCATATTGTCATGGCAATGAAACTGTAATTTGGTTCTGGTGATAGTTAATCTATCTGTGTGTTACGAAATCTGAAAGGCACTGACTCTGTCCTATTGCCCACATATCTTGTATCTGGTTTATAGGCAAAGAAGTTCCCTTATATCCTCAATAAGCGAAGGACTAGATTCAGCCATTCTGCAAAGGGTAACTGGATTCTCTGCAAAGATATAGCTCAGGTGCTATTTGCTTTTGGAACTGAAGGTATGCTAGTGGGTTAGTCTGTTCGTGGTTCCTGTTCCAAGCCACTGGCTGGCACAGCAGCAGACACCACTTTGTCCTCTGTTACGCAGTTTGTTACACACAAATGCCTGTGTAATGTCAGCCCTGTTTGTGTGAAACATACATTTTTGTTTCTATAACCACTAGAAACAGTTTATAAAATACCTATTAAAATTTTTTAAAGTCATGCTAGAATGAGGATGATTAACAAGGCAAAAAGTTCTTGTTCCAGCTGTTTTCAGCACACTGTTCATATTCACCTTCAACTTCAGGCACAGAGAGAGACCAAGGACGATGTTCAGTCACTGCAATTCATTACATGTAGCTTTCGATACAATAGAAGCCTGTTTAAAACCACAGCATTGCTGGAGAAAAAAATATTTTAATAAGCCTGTGTACTGTTTACTGTTCCATCAGCAGGCTATATTATACCAATACTTTAAAAAGAGATAGGATGTAATTAATGCAAAGGCTTGCAGCTCCTTTATTCAGATATTCATTTAGCTTCAAAAGAGGAAGACCTGCCTACAAAATTACTTCTGTCTTCTTACTAACAGATAGCTTGATTTGATAAACAGGAAGTGAGAGCTCAGCCTTTTTTTCAATTCTGCTTGCTTTGAATTATAAAGTCAAAAAAAACCTAGCTGGCAAACAATGTGACAGAAGCTTTAGCTATGCTGGTAACTTCACTGAAAACATGATAGAAAAAGGGTTTTCTTCATTTATGAACTAACAGCCTCAAATGCTAATTTTTTAATTAATTCAGCAAATGCATTAAAATATTTTTTCCATAGGCATTAGAAATCCTGACTGCATGTTTTATTATTCAAAATCATATTTGGTTCTGGTAGTTCCTTACATATTCAACATTGTAAAGAATACACATTTGTAAGTCATGGCACAGCCTATTCTTGCTGGTAAATGCACTTAGTAAACTCTTATGCTGAGGTCAAAAGGGAATTACAGTTGTACAAAAAACAGAGCATGCTGTGATGATGTTTTCTGTTTTTTACATTAGTGCTTTTGCCAGGCAAGAAGGCTGCCAGGCATTGTTATTGTCTCCTAAATACTGTTGAATTCCTCCCTCTTTCTTTTATTTATTTTCTTTTTTAGAGGGCATGTGCCAGATAATTTTAAAGGAAAAAGGAGTGAAAATCCAGGCAGGCTGAGGCTTCTCCAGTAATATAGAGAAACTCACAGTTCACAGTTGAGACTTAAGAATCTTCCAGCAAAGTGAGAATATGGAAAGAAGACTGGGCAATCCCCTGTAAGGGCAACAGAAACTTCTGTGCAAGTTAGCGCTCCTCCTTTCTCATAACACAAGTCAGCTTCAGTATACCAGGTTTGATGAAGATACTCAAAGGTAATGGATTAGTACATACGCCTTGGAAACTAAACATGCATGTTGACTAAGTCAAACCTCTTGCAACCAACTAACAGGAAAAAGGATGAAGATTCAGCAAAATCTGACCAGTCTGACAGCCACAATATTTTTCTGTCTCCACCCAACACAGTTCTAATAGTCCTTGAGAGTCTAGTTCTTTCTGAGAATGGCAAGAGTCTGTCAGTAATGACAGACAGGCACACAGTGGTGCTGCATCAGCAAAGAATTTGAGCAGATGGTTAAATTCTAATTCTGCTGAGTTCCCCAGTGTACATTCTAAGCATAACTTAAAAGTTTTTATCATGATAACCAATATAATACACATGAACATGTATTACTGTGCGAGATAAACAATAATACTTGGAAAAAAGCAAAAAAAATCTTGCAATATTGTAAAAAACCATTGGTAAGGGCTTAGAAGCTTCATGTGAATATATGATGTTATATTCACAAAATACAGGTTTTAAAAAGTCCCTCTGCACTCATGAGTTCTTTAAATTGCTGCCATTTTTTAAGAAAATGAACATTACAAGAAGTAAATATTGCAAGGGTGGGGAAGGAATATACTAACAAAATAAGATATTTTAATTGTTATATAGTAGAAAACAGAAAAGGCCATGACATTTTAAAAGTCTTGGTAAACTTCCTCCCGCACTTCCCTTTTTGCATCCAGCCTGAATTGTCACAATGCTCTCTCCCCAAGCGTGGGGATAGCCAGTGAAAGCCCCGCTGAGGACCACTGCAGTAGTGAATGAATGTATGGGGACGTTGTAATGCATTGAAGTGTTATCCAAACCCTCACTTATCTATGGAAGCTTACATATTTACAAGTTTAAATTTTGTAAAATGTTTAGAGTTTGTAGTTTCCTCTGCTGTAAAGGTAAACCTCCCTTGCATTGTGCTGCCAGAGCAAGTCACTTTTAAGACAGAGGACAAATAAAGATATTAATGGGGTTTATAAAGTTTTTGTGGTGAACTTGGTGTCTGCGGGAGGTGGGACTGACATCTAAGACAGTGTAGGTGACTATTCGGCAAGCATACAGCCAGTTGTATGCTAAACGATGGTCAGGTTTCTACCACACCTTACTTCCTTTCCTGTTCTCCTTCCTCACTTACCCCTCTCACCCTAAATTCAGCATAGCCTCTCTTTCTCTGTGTCACATTTTATCCTGAAACTTCTTTTCCTCTCTTGAGGTAGGAAATAAAGGAAATGTGTTACACAGTTTAGAACAAAAACAAGATAGGTTTTACCTTTTGAAGCATTGCATTGCCCTGGTGACCATTGACGTTGTGGTGGCTGATCTCTCTTTTGTACTGATATTCATAGACCTGATTAGTTACATTAATAAGTAGAGTGGATGGCCCAGATTTCAGCTTTTCACATTCATAAACAGTTCCACTTTCAACATCTGATGCTTTTGTTGCATATCGTATAATTAATCCCATTACAAGGCCTGGAGAATTAAAAAAAAAAAAAAAACACAACAAAAAACAAACACAAAACCAAAGAGATTCAGGTACTTTTAAGTATCTGATGGTACAGAGTTACTGTTTTGGAGAAAAATGAACTGTATTAAAACTAGGACACCACCTTCGCAGTGTTTCCGTCTTCACAGAGGTACACATGGATGACTATAAAATATTCTTCCAAAATGGTTATTTCATTACAATACAGATTTTGATTTCACACATGTGCAGTTGTACTCCTATTTTTGTGATCCAGTTGCTGGAATAATTCTGATATGGTTATTAACTGAGTTTCTCATCCACCACATTTTCAATAGATATTTAGAGAAGGGGGTTGTCTGCATAACTAATGTGCTGTACTGAGCATATAAAAATCAGCTTTTGGTGATTTTACACACTTCATTTGTAGGGGCAAAACTCCGACACAGTATCCTGAGGCACCTTGTGCTTTCTGTAGAGGACTCTATTTTTGAGACTGTATAAACATGGGAAAATAAAAGCAGGAAGAAGGAAAGGAAGATTAAGACTAGGATTTGATTTGATTATCTGCACTTTAGGACTCTTATCTGAGGCAGACATTTTGTCTCCCTTTACGGTTAACAGAGAGGAAAATGTACTTCTGCAATTGTCCTCTGGAAGGTATGCTTCTTTCTGTTGGCTCCAGCGGGAACTTCTATGATTACTTCAAGAGAGGTGACTAATATTTAGCTAGATAACATTACTGAGATTATTTCCACTCTCAGAGACTTGGATTTGGTTTCAAATTTAACTTCCATGCTTCTTTTATGGCCTATATAATCATAAATGCCTAGAGAGATAAATAGGATGTCTTTGTTATTGTCACATTCTCCCGTAACAGAGACTCTCTGAACTGCAGATTTCTAGCGCACGTGTAAGGCAAGTTTGTAGCTTCCTGGGCTGATGCTACAACAGAGTAACAGCTCTATTGCTTATTTAGTATGCATATTCATTTATGCTTGTTTTCTATCTATTGTTTAGTATGCTTGGTTTCTTTCAGTGGTAGAGGATTTAGATAAGCAGTAGAAAATCCGAAGGTCACTTTTTAAAGTTATACAACATTTGTGGATTAAATCAGAAAATAAATCTAGCTGTAGGAAAAGACAGAATTTCTCAAAATTTTTGGGGAAAGCATGTGTGGCAAAAGGGAAGCAAGCACTGCATGTGCAACTATGAAATACGACTTCTACATTGGTCAGCCTCAGATGTCCAAAATCATGAGTCAGAACCCAGGAAACCATTAATTAGTTAAAACAGTCAGGGGTTTCATCTCTTTTTTTTTTATTAGATTTCCTCTAGAAGAACTACATATTTCATTTCAAATTCAATTTCAAATACATTAAAAATTCAACTTCATTTGATGATTGGACAAGACTTGATGTCTCCTTCTTATTCTCTGGAAGAGAAAGCTTTCAGTTTTTCCTTTACCATTTTTGTTCCTATCACCCAATGCTTTAAACTAACCCTCTGTTGCACTTCTGTTGTCAGGTATTACATAGACTTAATCAGCTCAGGTAACAGAAATGTTTTGCAGATGTCCACCAATGCCTCTGCAAGGACACTGGCAGAAAAAGACTATTGAAGAACAGGAATATTTGGCGACACAGTTTGCTAGAATTGGTATCAGGTCATGAGATGGATAGGTTTCAAATAGTCAGGAGAAATAAGTGTTTGGTTAGGTGAATGTGCCGTACAACCTGTTCACCCATCCCATCATCTCCTCTTTCATTTCCCTTTTCTTTCCTTCTGCATTCTCTCTGTCTGTTTACTAAATTTCCCTGTATGTCCCTCATTATCTTTCCCAGACATGATTCTTCTGTGCTTGCCCAACTTCTTGCTGCATTTCCTGGTCTCTAACATTTACCTGTTTGTTTATAGCATCTGTCATATTAACCTGCCTTTTTCTGGACAGTTTTACCTAGACCCTCAAACTATGTCTTCCAAAATTAAGTAGCACACTAATCTTTTTTTCTACTAGCCTTGTTTCTGTTATACCAGCAACAATGAGCATGATGCTTATTTGTACAAGTCTCAGTCTTCTGGCTGCATACAGAAGAGAGGACTTTAAGGAAATAGTGCTGTTTTTAACCGAGAGCTCAAAAATTATGAATGAGAAGCTGAAAACATGGAAGTGATTTTAAAATAGGAGTTTAAATTCTACTATTCGGAGTTCTTCTGATTTATTTTTTAGCCTTTGAAGTCTAACTGTTTACATGGCTTGTACACATAACAACTTTCAGAATGGCAACATGGAACTGCTGAAGAGAGGTCAGCGGAGACCGGCTGACACTGCCTTTACCATCTGTTGGACAGCCAGCTGGACTGCTGTGTCCTGCAACATTCTGAGATTCCTAGTATGTGTGTATATTGCCTAATACAGCATATACTTTGAACTAAATTGTTTGATTGTTTTAAAAATGAAAACGAATGTTCTCAATTAGAGTAATGCAATTGCATTGAATTGTTCAAGGGCAAATTACTTCAACTTGTACTGTCAGGTTTAGACTAGGAGTAAAGGATTGTTCTTATTCTGTGTTCTGAGAGGATGCTATGTTATCTTCAGCTGTAGTCTGAAACTGCCTCTGTAGGAATTTTCTGCAATGGAGACAAAAACAAATATTATAGATCCTAATCCTGATAGACAGCTCTTGAGTGTAAATAAATCCATTTGCAGAAAATGAATATTTAAAAAATATGATCACAGTAGCTGTAAAGAAATAAAGATCAACACTGACCAAGATTTACAACTGGAATTCAAGTTTGCCTTTTTGGTTTTCTTCTACTAGCTTTAGAACTTATCCTTGGATGGAGTCCAGATCCAGGTAATGTACAGAGCATAAATAATGAAATGATAATGAAAGAACAAGGAAATTGTATCCAACAGCACACACATATTGGAGAAAATACATTACAGAAGATTCTAACAATCGATATTTTCAGGGCATCAATGGGGCTTTGAGGTCCTTGTAGCTCTCAAGGAAATTCTATAATGTATTAACTTTGGACAAAATGTGGAGGAGATCCATAATGATGGGATGATCCAGAATATTCTCTATTGCGTATGGAAGATTCAGACAAAGACAATTGCTGTCGCTACGCTTGCAAGAGTCAATATAAGTGATGCAATTATAATCTTCCTTCAGTAATGATAAATATGCCAAAGACCCTATATAAAACACATAGTGAATTAAAAATCCAGGAAGAGTATGTTTAATATTTTAGTAGGTGTATCATTTTTATGGAATGCACTTTCTGCTTTAAATCATTATATAACATTTCTTTCATGATAGAATTCAGGAGCCTAGATCATCTTCTAATATAAATAATCCATTTTTGAATAGGTGTGTAATGTATTCTCCTTTCTATTACTCCCCTATCCAAACTGAAATCATGCTTTTGTAATGTATCTTCTGAAATACTCTTTATAGTCTATTTAAAGAAAAAAATATTTGGGAAATATCATCTGGATGCATCTACTATGAAAAAAAGACTAATAATTTCTAATTTCCTTGCAATCAGTGTTTTATGGCAGAAAAATTAAACATGAAAATTTCCTCACAAAGTTCTATGGACTTTCACGTGTAAAAACATGTGTGTAAAAACATACCTTCTGTACAAATAGTTTTGATTTCATAGTGGCACACACAGAAAGCCTAGCTTTACTATGTAAATCTAGGAATTTGGCAATTAAAACTCCCTGAAGATGAGTCAGGAATGATGCTGCGTCTGTTACCTGACATCACAACTAGGCATTCTACTAAGGTACTGGTTAGCGTGAATAAAAACATTTCAAATAGTATTACATCAGTTAAGGGTGTAGGTAATTGTAAACGCAAAATCTTATGCAAGGCAAAACTTGAGTGTACTGTTACAGAGTACCTATCTTGTATTCTAAGAGTCCAAATCCAATTATAAATGTTTTCAGTTCCCCTTATTTAAGATATTTTCCTTCAAAACTGGTACCAAGGCTTCATTTAATTCATGTTTTAAGCACATTTATTTAAATGCAGGATTGAAACAAAAAAGGATGTAACTAATGTTGCAGATTTCTTTAAAAAAGCCTCAATTGTCCTTTGAAGTAAGATCCTGCAGTAAAATCTCAGAGACTCGAACTGGAGCTGTCATGTTTCAACTGAAGGCCACACAGGTTTTCCATCTTCTTCAGTGGAAGCAGGATAAAGTCCTTAATCATAGATGAAAGCATTGGAAGGGATTTCTTAAGTCACTCACCCAACTCCTGAGCTAAGCAGGACTGTTCTTTCCCCAGGATTTTATCTAGTCAGCTGTTAAATGCCTTCCTTAGTAATGACACTCAGGGATGCAGTTTTAGCTATTACTTGATTTTCCCAAATATTTTAAATTTCTTCCAAATTTCTTTGTTTGCCTCAAGAATGCTATTCCCCTCTACACCTACCTACTACAAAATGTCAGTTTCTGCCTTGATCACGATTTTCCCATACTTTCCTCTGAGTCCCGACAATCTTTCTTCACTATGTAGTCAGGAAGATAATAGACTATTTTATTCAGGGCTAGAGATTCCTCTTTCTGGGAATTATCACGTCCATTGTGGCCTTTGAGAATTAGGGGTACTCAGAACACACAATAAGAAGGAAACAACAATTACTTCACACAAGAGGCATAATGGATTTAGGAGGTGTAAGAATCATATTGCCTAATCATTAGACACCTCCACCAAAGCTGAATCAAGAACTGATTGTGCCTTGTGTCCAAACATGCTGCATGGGATCCTCAAAAGAGGCTGAGGAAGGGCTGCTGTGAGTCAGCTTTCTCACTGCACACCTGTGAGGAGCTGAACAACTGGAGGGAAGGAAAAAAAAAAAGAAAAAAAGGGAATGGTAGACCTCCAATCCCACCCCTCCAATCCCCTCAAAACTTCAAGAAGCATCTCTAACCACTACAACATGAAGCCATTTCTTGTGAATGCTACAATGACTGAGTTCTGTCATTCATCCTTTTAATGTTTTCCTTCCAATCTGATCAACTGGTGCCACAGAGCATAACTTTGAAGGCAGGTACATCTTCAGTCTGCCTCACCCCTGCCCTAAGGGGTGTCACACATTCTTTAGGGGTGACAACTATTCAAGCTGAGAACAATTTCAGCCAAAGTTGCTAATTAAACTAGCAGATAAAAGGCACAGATTGCATGGTTGGGGTTGATGGTGTTGGTTGGTTGGTTGTATTTTTTGTTAAACTCTGGGTGCCTGTCTGCAGGGGTGCTTTAGCCTCTTAATCAGGGGTAACTGGTGGAACCTGTATGTAGCCCAGACACCTACATTCTGGGGAGGATGAGAAATTTGGATATTTACACTCAGTTCTCCATTGTGCTAGCTCTGGGCTATTCTCCCGCTAATGTAGAGGGTCATGGCTTATACATTATATGCGAAATTTGGCACCTAATGTTTTATGACTGAGGTATCTAAAGATACCAGGCCCTGCAGGAGCTGGCTAATAGGCACTGAACTCTTTTATTGTCTAGTTGTCTATCGTCTAGTACTTAGAGGCCATCTTCTGGAGTTTGGTGCTAAGAGAGAGGCCATCTGCTCTTATCTGAGACAAGTGGCATTCAGTTTTCATTATTGCTTCTGTAGATAATCTACCACACTAATTATGACTATGCTGTTATATAGAAAACTGTGCTGATAATGTAAAGGATGCTCTTCCCTTTCTGGGTGGCACAGAGTTACTTTTTTGTGTCTACCTGCCTCCCCGATATACAGAAATCAGGAAGTAAGCTGAGTTTACTATTTGGGGTCTGTTTGTTAAACAAAGCTACAGTGTGCAGAGAAACTTGTTCTCTGAGATACTGGAAAACAAAAGAATGAATGAATGAAGAGGTAAGTCTGTATTCTTCTTCATTGTTTGTGAGTGATTTTTCTGTTTGGTGTCAAAACAAACAAAACAATTGAGTGTTTAAATACTTTCAAGCTACATGCCTTGAAATGTATATATGCATATATATATGTACACTTTTTTTTGGTAAAATAATGTTGAATTCCTGTTGAATTAGTTCTTGTGAATTAATTTGGGTTATGGTAAGTGCTTTGTTTTTTTTCTTTGCAACTGCAGAAATATTTTTAATGTAAATATAGCTATATTTAGTGTTGAACAGTTGCTTTGATTAAAAAAAATCCATTCGTACATCTCAGTTTTTAAAGTTTCTAAACAGAAAGTTTTCCAGTATAGGGGTTTTTGTTTGTTTGTTTGTTGGTTTGTTTTACTGGAACTGTTCAGCCTAAGACTGCATTTTCCTACAAAGCTTATACAAAAAAAAAAACCACCCCAAAACAGGTTTTTTATTTGATCTATACTTTAAATAGAACTTTCTATCAGGCTGTTCCTCGTGTTCAATTTGTGGCTGTTCAGCACTTTACAGTGACTGTAAAATGTCTTCCTGTTTTTGTATTTCTGTGGTTTTGTGTTTTTGTTTTTTTTTTTCCCTGATCATCCTCATATTTCACTTTATCCTTTCTGCTGCTATACCCCTAATAGCACACTGTCTTGATAAGGAATACAGACCCATTTGTCATACTGTGGGACACAGTCTGCAAATAAGTGGCCATTTTCTTCTATCACTTGAAGTAAAATTATCAGTTTCTTGTGCTAGATATTCATGTATCTAGAAAATAGCTCAGTGGGCAGGAGGAAAGCAAACTGTAGGACCGAGAATTTTGGTCTGCACAAACCAGGAATAAACCAGAATTGTGCTGATAATGAAGGCAAAAAAATAAGTGAGGGCAGGATTTAGCTCACTGTCAGTGCTTGGTGCTATGAAGATTTTCTGACACCTCTATCATGACCTCTGAAATTCCAATCCAGTGAATTGCTATTTCACAATGCTAAAGATACCTAAACCCATATCCAAAATTTCTAAGGACAAAAACGACATCATCAGCTTTTTGGATCCTATGAATAAGCTTTTATCCCTGTTTGAAGGTTGCCATAAATAATGCAAGACTAAATAGATAGTTTATTTACAATCATGAGGAATGTTTCCTTTGTTCATGAATGTTTTAATAATTCAAAAGATTTTTTTTGCACTAATCTCTTAATTGATCAAAAGAATATCATGAGCTGGTTATCCTCATGATGTACAGGTTATGTTCTGGGCAGGCAGCAAAATAGAACCAAAAGACAGATAAAACTAACTAAATACTGAAGGTTTTTTTTTTTGTGTGTGTAATATTTCGTTTCTATTTTGATAGGCTTTTGTCTAAATCTTCAACAAATGTCATCAGCTGCACATGGGAAACAGCACAGTAGTGTAAAGAAAGTTACTATAGAAGAATCACCCACGTAATTAGAAAAACTTTGTAATTTACAAGTTGATCATAATGAATATACTGGACGTTGTTTCATGGTTTTCCTTTTGAGACATGCTAACAAGCAAATACATTCTTAGTGATGCTGTGTAGCTTGTACCCCACAAAACTGTGAAACAACAGTCTAGATGATGTCTCGCAATGAAACCATTGCATTTAATTTAGTTTGATGTGTATTTCAGTCTCAACTGACTCAGTTGAAGTGTGTTTTCTATGTGCAAAAGATTTCAAGATTAGAAGAAGGGCATATTATCAAATAAATACTTTTTCACAAGTTTAAAATAAACACAAGGCAGATGACAATTGAGAGATCCTACAGACTCAGGTGTTAGGTGTTCAGTGACCGGCTTAACACAAGAGTTTCTTGTTTACTTCCTTCAAAAGTATCAAGTCACTTGTGAAGATAGTGAGCCAAGCAGATGAAGCAGCCTGTGTTCTTGAAATTTCATACAGTTAATTTATCTAATGAAATAGTTTGAAAGGGATACAAGGAAGACTGATCTTCAGATGCAGTCCTCCTATAGAACTGATATAATCTTAAAATGCTTGACACAGAAAGAGCAAATGAAGCTTTTATCTCAAAATGCAGGGGCCAGTTGCCTTTTCTATTGCAGGCTGCAGTTGAACTCCCATGGAGCTTTTTTGCATGTGATGTGCCATGACAAACAAATATTCTTCAGAATATGCGATTTTAACAAAACCAGTTTGGAGTATTACACTGCTGGAGTGTGTGATGTGCATAGATCAAGTCTAGAGTCAAAACAGGCTGACATTTAGATACGTAATGACTGAGCTGTTGATTTCTATCTTCCATTTTAACAGTGTTACCCTCCTATATGTGTTTTGCGGTAACAGAAATGGCAGTCACACACTTCTCTCAAAGTGAAACAACAGTGAGAGAGTGACAAGAGAAATCATTATACATGTAAATGTATACCGTTAAACTAGTGAGTACTTATCAGTGGACAATGCAGAAAGTTCTGCATGGAAGTGATACACAATATTGCAAAACTTCCGTAAAAGATTAGAACTAGACAGGCAAACTGAAATTACAGTACAATGACAGCATTCAGAGAAGACTTGAGAGAGGCATTCTTCATAGTGTGTTTTTAAAGGCACAGAGGAAAAAAAAAACAAAACCAAAAGAAAAATCTCAAACCATATAAAGTTTATTAGACAGCACGGCTGTATCCACAAGGCTCCTTAGTCTAACAATGTTGAAAGTTATACAAAACAAGTGTGGAAAATAAGCTAATTAAATAATCTCTTTCACTGAGGGCATTTCATTCTTCTGCAAATAGTAAACTCCCTAACTCCCAAAGTGTCATGCAGTGGCTGTCTGCCCACAGACGAACATAACGTGCACTTCATGAGGATAACCAGCTCATGGTAGTCGCTCCCTTAACAAGTCAGCCTCTAGCTACTTCGTGAGAAATGCTGTTCCATTATTGTTTTATTGTGCATTTATGGAGCTGATGACATTTCATTCAACACGTTTTCTGAGCTTTGTCAGCACTTGATCTCAAGTGCCTGATCATAAATATCCAACCAGTCCCATGTCAAGCTGGCACTTGAATTTATACTCACCGTAAAGCATAGCTCCTCCAGTTTCATGCAGAAAGCGGAAACGATGGTTTTTAAACAACCAAATTGTTAATATTGTAAGAATGAGCAGAAAGTTAAAGACTAGCAACTCCACAGCTCCCTGATGATACAACTGATCTTCAACTTTCTCTGACACATATTTCTTCAACTTCTCCATTTCATTCCCTTTACGGAAAATATGTGCAAAAAAAAAAAAAAGGAAAAAAAAATTGCAGGAAGGAAAGAGTTATCACCTTTGGTACAAAAAGTCCAGATGCTACAGAAATTCACAGCAAGCACATCTGTTTCATTTGCAGCCTCATGGTAAAGTGCCCCAGCTCAGAATTCAGCTGGATTCTGGTTACAGCTTCCTGTTTCTCTCTTAAAGCTGCCCTGTCTCATTTTTATGTAATGTCAGGGCTGTAGCTTATAATAGTATGAGTGTTCCGAAGGAGGCACTGTTGCTTTAATCTACAATGTTTTAAAGTAATTTTTGCTTGGTAAACAATCAGTTCTGTCCTCTGTGTAAACTAATTTTGTCACATTTAACAGGTTTTCATTTTTTCTTTCACTTTGTATGAAAAGCAGTTTCCTTCTAGTTCTTTTTTAATTAATGATTTTTCTCTGCTTACCAGATATTTTTTTTTCAGTCTCTGTCACTAGTTGTCACTCTGTCCCCTCCACTGTTTCACTATCTTCTCTCCTTTGTGTTTCCCTCATTTGCTCTTTCTTTTTGTAATTTTACCTGATAATTTGCAAACATAGTCAGGATTATTTAAGTCAAAACTGTATTTCTGAACTGATTATCAATGGGGTCTCTGTGAGACGAAAAGCTGGCAAAAACCAGCTGATAATTCCCAACTTAATGAACCATGCAACTCAATTTCAAGTTAAGGATAAAAGTTTGATGCTAACCTGTATTTTTGGAGAATATTCACTATTGTATTTTGAATGATAAAATAATGTATAAGGGAATTAGGTGTAGCAATTTCATTATCCAACTGATCCAACTCTTTTTAAAATGTTAGTCACGTAGCCAAGCCTTATAACTTTTATAAAGGAGAAAATAAGAATGAAGACTTGATTTGGATATCATATTCACAGTTTAGAAATGACAGCGACCTTAACATTGTGAGACTGACCATCCATCTCCACCGTGGAAGTATCAAAAGCAAAACAAAGATCATGTGAAAATAACCACATTCGGTATCTATCACAATGAAAAGCAAAGACTTATTTATTATGAAAACCAGAGTTGTTTGCTACCCTTGTGAAACAGGTAATTTGCAAGCACTTATAATAAAATCAATGGAAAAGAAGCACAAAACAGTGAAAGGAGTTGATTTTATACAAAGAATCTCAGTGATTAGACTATTCACCTCAGATTTGGGAGACCAGGTTCAATTACCTGTTCTGTTTGCATTTACCTGAACTCATATTTCTCACCAGATGATAAGGAGTTCCTCAGTCTTACTGCTGGAGCGGTTGCAGTGCGAAATAAATGAAATGTGTAAGTCTTAATTTCCCAAAGCTGCATTTCCCCTTTGGCAAAACAGGGTTATAATTCTGCCCTATCTCACAAGACAATCCAGTGTATGTTTGTGAAACAATCACATGTTATAGCAATTTGTGCCATACCACAGCTTAAATGGAAACAAATAATCTTTGATTTAGTATTAGATTTAGGTAATAAACACTTTAATTTATTGACACATAACAGGAGGTGGAAATGATGGACATTTCAGAGTTATTTGTTTGCTATGTCCTATCCATTTGCATACTGGTCACATTAGTTACATTAAAAGAACCCTGTATGTGATCATATGAATAAAATTGCTAACTATATTGCTTAGGAGCAAAGCAGAAAGAATTTAAACTGCATAAACAACTTAACTTCTTTATTTCCTAGTCTTTTGTACTCTCTCTTTTAATATGAAGTATTTTAGAGTGTATTGAACATCCTGAGAAAAATATTAAGAATATGCTGACTATCACATATACAGTACAAATTGCTAGGCAATATTTTAGTAGGCAAAAAGTAGTAGTTTCCCTGGCTTTGATTCCCCCAGTAAAGGATTTGACACAGAGGTTTTAAGTGTGTGTTGGTTTGGTTTTTTACGTGCTTGTTTACACGGAAAAGTATAATTCAAGAAGAAAACCCAAAAATCTAACATACATGGTTGTTAGCTAACCAAAGACCAGACTTTGTTCAGGAGGAATTTTCTAAAAAATGGACACACTGAGAATATAATTAAGTTGTGTAGTGGTTCATCAGTCATGTTTCTGTGTGTGAAACTGTTTAAGAAAGAACTATAAGGTCATCTGAGAGAATGGTTGGGTTTGCTTTTTTTAGAGAAGTCATAAAGGTGTTTTCAGACTGCTTTTATGTGAGAAAATACATCTGTGTTAGGAAAAGCTTTACCCAAGAAATATCATTGTCCTCAGGAATGAGAATTTAGACACTAGTAATCTTGCTTCAGACATCACAAAACCTTGTCTTTGTTGGGGAAACTGTTGGGTTTTTTCTGTGTGTTTAACTGGTTTTATTTGTTCTTTTGTTTCTACTGAAGTAAAAATCACAGGCTTATTCCAAGATTGGCTTTTTTGGTTATAAGTTTCAGAAGCTTGAACCTTAACAACATAAGGGCTTCAAAAAAGACTATCTGAAAAGTTAGACCAAGTGTCCCAGCTCTACAAACTTTTCAGCACGTGCTTAACTTAAGTCAGTTAACTCACTGATTCAAGCATCACTTACTGCATAGGTTTTGGACTTAACAAGTGAATCTAGACACGTACCAAACTTTCTCTTTACTGATAAAGGGGTATGTTTCCTTAATAGTGGCATAATAAAAAGATGCTTGTACTTCATGAACATATGCTGTAATGGATAAGGAATAAATTATGTATTTTATCATTTTCACTGCTTCCACATCCTGGGTTGCATAGAAGCGAATTATTTTAGTAGAAAACCCCCACACCTTCACAGAAAATAGCTAAATATTTCAAGGCAGCCTTTCAGGATATATGACCATAATTTTGGATCCAGAGACCACACCTCTCCTCTTTTCTTTAAAATATTGGAATATCTGTGGTAGCAACAGAAAATTTAGGAGAAATTATGTGAATCAGGTTTTTACCTCTTGCACATATAGCTTTAAACACTAGGCTAAACAGTTCTGTTCCTACATACGCTCTGAGTTTGGCAAGTGATTTTTTGGAATGTTTTCCTTCATGCACAGAAGCACAACACTGAACACTGGGGAAACATTGTAATCAGTTTTCTATTAGATGAATGAAAGTTTTAGGCTTGCAGGTGTTGGACTTGGGGTTTAAATTCTGCCAAAGACTTGGCACAGCTCCTCATGTAATTGGGGAGAACTGGTTCTAAATAGCATTCATCATCTTACAAGACTGGACTTTTAGGTATTGCTTTCCTTGAGATACAAGACAATTTTAAATCCGCTTTCCAGGCACAGCCACCCATCATAGTTCCTGCTTATGAGGGATCCAGAAAAGACATCCAAAACTGTTGGGGTGGTTTTCCGCATTTTCAAACATTGTATTAATCCTTCAGAGCCATGTATACTTGTCTAATCCTATAATTGTATCCCTGTCTGCAACTGGCACTAATAGAAATTTTAGCTTGCATGTCCACTATGTCAAAAAATTGTTTTCTTTTTTTTTAAAGACACATTCTGATTATTTGAAACTAAGGATTTATCTTCCACAAAAAAGATAAAATCTACTATTTTTTTTAACTCCATGTGATTTTGTTGGTTTTTTTTTCTTTTTACGTTCTAAATTTCTTCAAATGTATCTTTTTTTTTGTCAGCTTTTTTCACCTTCCATTTCATTGGGGTCATAGAGCATTCTCTGTGAATTCCAAGAAGTGTATAAGATTTCTGATTCCTGGGTAAAGGTATTTCTCCAAATTATGTATTAAGGTGTTTTTTTCTTTCTAAATGAAATTAATAATTTATGTGGGTTCATTCTATCTTGACGAAAGATTTATCATAGATACCTATTTTCCAGGGACTTTGTCCTAATGATTTTAAGAAAATTCTGTTCCCCTCCAACCAGAACAGCTTAGCATGCTTAATGTGCTGTTCTAAAGAAATCAATGCAGGTTTGCATCAGTGGACTTCTTTTCCACATACTGAGTTAATCTTACTCTTTTGAAGAAGGAGATAAAATAGGCTCGTGAGTGAACTTATTGCCACTACTAATGTTCATGAAGCTTCTAAAGAACCAGGTACTTAAAATGGCCATGCTGTTGGAAGAAATTCTGGTGCACTGCTAGTCAGTAGAAAGCTGATGTTGCAGACATTTCTAGTGACTGAGTAATACAGACTGAAACATGCAAATACTTTTCATCAGGTGATCTCTGCTAAGGGCCTGGGCTTAAAGAGAATACTTTTCTTTTAATTTTTTTTTTTAAATACAGAGAAAAATCTCTGTGTATACAACTGGAAACGTCACGTGTTTCACAACATTGTTGTTTCCTATTTGACAACATGTTGGTCAAAAGTGATCATTTTTCTTTCTAATCTTTCTAATTTAATGTCATCAATCATTCACTATGAACAAGTGCTACAAAACCATAGGTAGCATTTTTTTTTTTTTCTACAAATCACAAGATACTTGTTTTTAGCGAACTGCCACAATTCTGTAGAATACTATTGACTTAGCTTGATTCCTTACAGATAGTAAAATGTTTTCTAATTTTAGGAAATGTTTACATCATTTACAAGGCTTTTTAGGAATTAATTAATATTTGTAAATGGCCTGAGATCACTGAGTGAAAAGCTCTATCTGCGTAAGAGGTAATCTTAACATCAGCTTTTGGCATTCATGTAGTTATTTTAAGTTTCCTTTACAAATAGGAACCGGCACTTATTTCCTTCTGTATCAGATAAGGCATTTGAAAAATATCATAACGGCTGAGGACACAGAGAAGCAAAATTTCCATATCTGAGCTTTAAGTTACTAATATTTTCTAAGTGGGCCAGATGTTCGACTGCAGCAACCCACATAAGTGTTCACTACTATATTATTGCTATACACTGTCTAAAGTATGCAAAGAATATGTAGATAGGATGATTAACACAAGCTAACTATCTGATGCAACATGTTTGTAAGTGGGTATTTTATACATACATTGCTGGGGGAAATATAATGGAACTGGTATAGGACCTTAATAATGTTTTTGCATTTAATAAGCTGATGGCATTTTGGCATGTACAGGCCAAAGGATGCCCCAAATGTTCAGGGTTGTACGCAGAGAATAGCTAATGTGAAACTTGTAAGTAATAAAAAATACTGTATTAAAAGTTTCAATCCAGCTAGT